TTAAAATTAAGGGTGTTTTAAAAAATCATATGAAACATATTTTAGAAGTAAAAAATACTGTGTAAAATTAATTGCCACTTTTTTAATAGAAAAGGTGGTACAATAAAAAAAAAGTGACACAGAAAAAATGACACACTGTCACTTTTTAAAATTAAGTGTCACTTTTTAATTAAAAAAAAAGACATACAATGTCACTTTTATTAAAAAAAAAAAAATATTTGTCACTCAAAAAAGTTATAGAGCTTTCAAAGAATTGACAAAAAAAGTAACAAACATTAAAAAAAATGATAAAAATTTAATAAAAAGTGACGAACACTAAAAAAAAGTGACATAAATTAAAAAAGTGACAAATTGGCAATTTTCAAGTTGGTGTACAATAGAGTTATTATATGCCCGATTGAGACATGACAAAATACCTTATCACTTTTCTAAAAATCCAAGTTAAACATTGTTTTAATCTTACATTCTATTCATATTTATTTGAATCAAGTTAATTGATGTATCAAATGTGTTTGTAAGAATGAGAATGTAAAAAGTGTCTTTCTGTCACTTTTCTATGAAGAGCAATTGACTAAATGCCTATGAGTGTACTTTGGAAATTTAAACATAGAAATTCAAATATTGTTTTAATTTTGCATTCAATTCAAATTGATGAACACTATTCAAAAAAATGACAATACACTCAAAAAAAGTGATAAAAATTCAAAAAAGTGACAAAACATCAATTAAAATTTTAAAATATATCATTTTATACAAATTCAACCACTTCTCCACCAACATTTCCACCTTCACCACCACTAAAATATGATCAAAAAAATTTTTTTAATAAAAAAGTGACAAAAAATCGACAAACACTATCCAAAAAAGTGACAAACACTAAATAAAGCGACAAAAATTAAGAAAAAATAAAAATAACAAACATTAAAAAAAGTAAGGAAATAATTATACCTTAAATAATTATATATTGACTTTTGTTACTTTGATTTGCCTGCACTTTAGAAACAAAATGACCATTTAAGAATCCGAATTATGTGCTTGTTTGGGAGGGATTTTTGGGGGAAGAATTGATTTTGAATAGTGATATGATGGGAAATGTGTGATCGGAAAAGAAGAAAAAAATTAAAAAATTATTGATGTGATGGAAAATATTATTTTATTGAAAAATGTGTGACATCAAAGAAGCATGTATCATAAATATCTTTAGAGCTTGTTTGGGAGAGATTTTTGGGGGAAGAATTGATTTTGAATAGTGATATGATGGGAAATGTGTGGTTGAAAAAGAAGAAAAAATTATTTATGTGATGAAAAATATTATTTTATTGAAAAATATGTTGTTTAAAATGAGAATTAATTTACTGTAGAATTTTGAGAATCCACACCAAACAAGGCCATAGATGCCAACAACCCAAGATGGAAAATCTACCAAAAAGTTCTCACTCCCCACATCGCAGGTCCCTCGTCAGGAACCATCCTTCATCGCCAAAGACTAAAAACCCGCTTCATTTTCCTCATACCCCACCTCAGACCTCACCTTCACCCTCCTAAAAACTACCCCATTTGGGTTCGTCGTCAGCCGCCTCTCCTTCGACGCCACCCAATAAACCATCACCCCAAAATGCACATCAGCTTCAAAGACTAGTATCTGCAACATTGCTAGTGAGACCTTTGATCTCAACTTGTATAGATCTCACCCTTTCTACATGGATGTCTGACCCCCTCGTGGGACCAATCATGGAGCCTTATTACTCAACAGCAAAGGGATGAATATTGTGCACACTAGATATAGAAATTATTGTATTGATTTTCAAGAAGATAATAATGGCCCACGCCACTCGAGTCAAAGTGTAACGGAGAGGTGCAATCTCCGACGAACCCATAAATGCCAATGATTCAATTGGAATATTGAGTTGCTCAATATCCTGGTTTTACTTGATTCTCCATCCTGTGTTGCAACTGTTATCCCTTTCTACTTGTGATTGTCTCTTTGAAAATTTTGAATTGAATGAATACGAAGAGAAAGGCAAGTTTAATGGTGGTTGTTATTCAATTGGACGTATATTTTACTGTCAATTAAAAAGATTAATGAATTTTTTAAGCGTATTATTCAATTTTAGTGATTTTTTGAACAGTACTGGACCTAATTTCCTCTTAAAAATTTTAGAACATATTTTACACGTCATTAAGGTGCAGTTTGCTGTATTTACTTTCAGGTCCACATTTTGTATTTTTTTTTTTTTTAAAAAGTAAATCATTCTTTCAATCAAATCAAATCGAGCAAACTGCAAAAAGATGTTTTGACTTTGTTTTAAATTGCAACGAGAGGGCAGAGGTGGAGATTGGCCTCGCAACAATTTGAAATTTCTTTAGATTTATGAAGAAATTTTGAATTTTTTATATTTATGTAATACATTTATATTTTGCCCATTAATTTTTTTTTTGCCTCGCCATCGTGAAATTTGTGGCTTCGCAACTAGATTTACTAATTGTTTGATGTCATTTTGCAACATTAAAAATTGTAAATTCCGATTATACCGTGAAAAATCAAAATGAATTGACTATAAGAGTTACTTAGAAAGATGTAATTAATTTTCGAACTGCATCATCTCTTATTAGATTCGAAGAAAGATCTTTGACAGACACTCACTTAACTATGGAGCTGCATGCATGTGAATATATTCTTCATAGCGAAGTTATGATAGACAATGAATCTTGTATTCATTACTTGAATAAATAAAGTAATTAATTAAAAATACAAAATTATATATATTTTAATTTTTTTGAACTCTATTTTCCATACATTTATGAGTAAAACTACCAAAGTCATTCTATTAAAATTCACGAATCAATGAGAATAAAATTGAAATTTATTCTAAAATTACATGTGTTTGTGCAAACTTGAAATAACCTGATCGAAGAAAATAATACCTGGAATTATATTGACTAAACAAAATCTACATATCCACCTAAACTTAGAAAATTCAAAATATTACAAACTCCTAAACTAGATATCAAATTTTTTTCAGATGGTTTCCAAAAGACATCAAGTACTAATCGGCATTTTGAACCTTCTGGTGGGGTTGATATAGCTTCTAAGGTAATAGATAGCAAACACGAACATTGTGATTAATCTTGCGGGGTGGTGCACAAAGTTGGTGAGGATATGGAAGATGAAGCTTAGGTGGAGCAGTAAACAGGTTCAATGTAGAAGCCCATATACCAGTCGAAAAGGGATTAGTCTGAGAGAGCAGCACTCGATCGTTAAATTTTGGAGGCAATGTTGCCAAATTCTTGACAATGAATGGATGACTCAATAGCTTGTCGGCCGTCCATCTCTGTTCGTGGTCCTTGGCCAAGCATTTGTTCAAGAAATCTTTCACGGTGTCGGAAATATTTTCGGGTATTGGATTACCAAATCCAATCTGCCGAAACAACTCTGCATCACTCCGAGCAGTCGACCAAATGCGTTTCCCTGTGATCATCTCCACTATAATGCAACCGAGTGACCATATATCTGTAACTGGCTCGTGAATCCCCAGAGCAATCGATTCTGGGGACGAATAGAACAGTGCGCCTCTGTTGTGAATCGATCGCCCGGGAATCAAGATTTTATCCTCCTCTCCGATTTTCTTGGCCTGTCCAAAATCTGCAATCTTGAGATTGTGTATGGAAGAACCATCTGCACTGGGAAAGACAAGAATATTGGCGGGTTTTATGTCACAATGAACGAACCCTTTCTCATGGACGTGAGAGAGACCCTTAAGCAGCATATAACTGTAACACGCAACGAGAGATTCTGGCATATTTCCTCCAGTTTTGATGATCAGATCGGTGAGACATCCACCCGATGCGTATTCAAGGAGAAGATTATAGACCTCTCTGTTGTTTTCAATACTTATATCTTCTCCAAAACACTGGACGATTTCACGGCAACCTCTTAATTCGAACAGAATTTCTCCCTCCTTCTTCAGCCAATTCGAATACGGAAAAGTGGCGGACTTCACAGCGGCGGTAGAAACTGAAAGAGGAGAATCGACCTTTGCCGCTAAATGTACGGTTCCATAGGTGCCTGCACCAAGAATGCGAGCTTTACTCCAGAAACCCATTAATTTTCTTTTCCTTGACCAGAAACTGAAACAGTGTCAGGGAATAATTGAAACAGAGTATAGTGAAAACAGATTATGGGGAAAAACGATACGAAAGTTTGGGTTTTATAGTTAATTTCTTGTCTCCTTCATGACTTCGGCTAGAACTAGGAAATAGAGAATAATCTAATTGAAATTGGGTAAAAGTCGAACTATCCGTTATTTTCAGATTGTTTCCTTATTGATTCTGATAAATATTTGTGCACATTCCTTTTAAGTGTTACTTCTTTACCAATTACGTTATTTTCAGATTGTTTCCTTATTGATTCTGATAAATATTTGTACACATTCCTTTTAAGTGTTACTTCTTTACCAATTAATTGATGTGAATGAATAAACTCCCAATAAATATAGGGAATAATTGAAACTCTTGATCGAATTCATAGTTTCATTAATTACGATAATCTTTAACTTTCCATATTTAATGCAGTTTTTTTTCCTTGTTGGAGTCCTGATTAAAATCTGTCTTTGAAAATTTGACATCCTGCCAAGTGTTAATTATCAGGATTTCTCCCTTAATATTTTCGATTAATTTCACGATTTAATTAAGAAAACGAAACTAGTAAAAAAGAAAAGAGTAATAGTAGAAAACACTCCTTAAAATGTTTCCACTTGCGATATACTCCTTACCTACTGGATATGCAAAAAAAAAAAAAAAACCCCCTCTATTTGAATCCTTTTTGTACGAAAAACCCACATATCGTAAAGATCCTTTAGATAAAAATAATAAAAAAAAAATGCCAAAATTGAAAAAGAATAACGATAATTTCAGTATCCAATTTTTTTTATTTTTTTCACGAATTGTACCCAAATTTTTTATATTTAACAGATCGTCGTTGTCTAACATCTCAAATGGAAGAAACCAAAGTCTCCAGATGCACTAGCCTTCTCCTTCCGGGGAACCTAGTCGTCCCCATTTACATGGTTGTTTCCATAGAGGTTATCGAATGCCTTAGAGCCAGACGAGCCATTGGCAAAGTGTTGCTCTCAGTCAATTCCTCGTCCTCTCCTACCACTACCTCATCATCAAAACTGTTGTTACCTCCATTTGATATTCCGTTCAAATTGATATCATCCATCATATCACGAAGTGAAGTGCTCCCGAGTGCATCACTAATTTTGTCATCTTGGAAAGTAAACCAGCTAGATTTTGTAAACAAACTTCAGCAAGAAAGAATCAAACAGTGACAAATATGTTGGAAAATTCTAACACATATGGGGCCACATATTGTATATTAAAATGTGTAGTGCTATTATTTACAGAATATTAGTCAATTAAAGTGATCCGTCAAAGATGTTTTGTGACTAATGTGTATTATGTTTCATGAAAATATAGTGTAGAGACCGGAGTGTTGTTTTAAATTGATGAGAGACCAATTTGAAGCAACTAAAAAATAGTGACTATTCAGTTACTATTATTATTTTACATGGTTATGGTCCCCAATTGTTGGTGTTCTTGAGACTCTCTGCATGCACATCGACAGAGAGCGAAATTGAAGTAAAGATCACCAATCAATTGGAAGATCAAGACTCATTCAAGCTAAGAATCAGAAATCTATGGATCAATGTATGTTTATGCTTCCGCTATTTTCATTCTCATTGATTTCAACATGGATGGTTTTATTTGAGAAATAGTTTGATAAATTAGGATTTGATTAATGTTTTGATCGATAATCCTTTTCCGTTTTTCTATCAAAATAGGCTTGCTTGATAGCCAAATACCAGCTTCTTGCACATAACAAATGCCCACACAGTAATATTGCACAATAAAGGCAAATATTAAATTTATCTGCGAGTGGATTTTCGACTGCTAGGGCAGTTATGAATTCCAGAGTTCTGAATTTAATTAGATTTTTCGAGTTTTGATTTTAGTTTAATTGGGTATGGTTGAAGGTGGGGAAGAAGATGAAGTGAAGTGAGGCAGGGTGGGGAAAAAATAAAATTTTAAAGGGTTGAGATTGTAGGTGCTACATCTAAAAACTTTGGGTACAATTTGTAAAAACAATAAAAAGTTTGGGTACTGAAATTTCAATCATTCCTTTTTAATTTTGGCACTTTTTATTATTTTTAACGACAAATCTAACGAATCTTGATGGTATGGGGTTTTTCGTACAAAAGGCTTCAAACATAGGGTTTTTTTTGGGTGATTTCCAATATGTATGAGGTATATTGCAAATGAAAACATTTTTAGGGGGTTTTTTGCTATTAATCCAATAAGAAAATAATTTCCATAACCTTTGTAGAGTAAAATGTTGTGTTTCAAAAAAAAAAAAAAAAGGTGTTAACAAACTTGCATTAATTTTTTAAGTTTCCTTAGAATTTTCCACCTTTTTAATTCATTTTGAGATAAAAATTTTGCAGCATAAGTTGAAACGAAAATGGAGTAAAATTCTTATAAGTCGAAAATTGTTATGAAATTGATAATAATTGAATATAAAGAGAAGAAAATAAAGAGAGTCAAAATTCGAGTTAATTTTATTGAGAGCTAAATCCTATATTTATAGAATATAATTAGAGCAACAATTATACATTCGTCATTTACAAATATTTAATTTATAACACCCATCCTTAAATGAATAATTACACAATAACAATCTTGCTAAAAACATTGTTTGAAAAAATATCGATGGACAAAAATACCAAATGAAGAAAAAAGAAAAANAAAAAAAAAAAAAAGACAAAATAAAAAAAAAAAAAAAAAAAAATGTCTTGTTAAAACACAGTCAAGAAAATCTAGTGCGATAAAATTTGATCAAAATGAAAAATGTACAACTATCTGTTTGATTTTAATTAAAATGAAAATCATTATATCAATACTTTCATATCCCATGAGCCAATTTCTTCAATGTCACAATTCTAGTGAAATGTGTTCCATATTATCTTATTTAGGCTTTAAGCAATATCATTTTTATATAAGATATTTATCTATTCTTGATTGACTGCAGTTAACATGATGGTTGATGTACTTACCATTCGAGCGAAATTCGCAAGTATACGAGATCATTGACAAGTAATAAATGTGATGAGTTAGAGCATTGTTCCATGATGAATAAATTTCAATTCAAGTGTACTAGTTTTGTATTGTAACCGAATTATGGAACACAAACAAGATGATTTTGTTATTTATTCTAAATTATTCTACTAATTATTTAAAAAGTTTTGATTGTTTAAATGGATTGATGATTGTGTTGGGTCTTCAAATTCGCCCATTGTTATCTACTTCAATTCTTAACTATGTACTCCAATTTTATTTATGTATTCTTGACAATCGATAATCCTATGATATTTAACTTTCTTTTTCAAGATAAATTAAGTATATTCTAGTCACTACCCAATCATATTTATAGCCCGAATTCGAATGAGTAAAAAGCATTCAATTTCCTGATTATCTAAATAATTGCACACGCGATATATGTTATTCCTAACATTTATTGCGCGTATATTAACCTAGCTACATTCTAAACTTAATTGTGAACTTTTCAACATTACAACAAGCAACTAATTATCGAATTGATGGGTAAAGAATTAAATAATTCAACGAGAATGCAAGATTAATGAATAAAAATAAAAATTACTAAACTACTTTTCTTGAATTAAAATAAGTAAGTAAACATGGTTCATCTTCATCCAAATCAAATATGGATCTAGCCTAGTATGTTCTTGTTTAAATGATAAGAATAAGTAAAATATCACCCAAACATGAATGAATGCAAGAGATTTTGATCTTCAATTCCAATCCCAAAGTCTTCAAGCTCTTGATCATGTAATTGGGTTTCAATTCCTTGCTAGATAGATATTCTCTCCCAAAAAAATTAAAATGTGAATTTGCCTCTTGTTATTGATGAAAATTATAATATAGACGTGATTTGAGAAGTAAGAGAGATCCAAACTTTTGCCCAAGTTCTATATTTATGAGAGTCGGATTTAGGTCAAAAAATATCATAGAGTTGTTATCTAAAAGAGTTGGATTGAGAAAAGGGAACATAATCACGCTTGCCAATTTTTATACCGCACACGTAGTAATACTCCTTGCACATGCATCTCATATGCCATCTACTCTCAGGATTAGAAAAATAGGGTGCCTTGCGTGCCACCTGTTAGTTGGGTCGTGCACTTTGTTTCCCGAACTTTATTCTTTATTCCTCTAAATCATTTTCTCTTATAATTTTCATTCTTTATCTTCCATTTGCATCCAAATTGAACTCCTAACATTCTCCAATTATTGTTTCAGTTGTTCGAATAAACTATTGAATATTTACAATTTGGTCCTCAAACTTTGATTTTCCTCTATTTTTTTTCTCCTTTTTTCCAATTCCGTTAATTTGCATCAATTTTTACCCAATAAACAAATTTTATACATAAATAAGATATAATTCATCAAAATTCACCATAATTAATCTCATTTATAGCCCATATAAGTGTACGTTAAAAATAGATCTTGTTGCTAGCTATATTTTAGAGTCTTGTATACAATTTATAACATATAAGAGTAAAATTATGAAGTTATGTTGATGGTAAATTTATTTTAGATTATAACATTCACAACACAAGAATATGCCTTAATAAAACCTTCATAGAAAAACTTAGCAAAAGAAAAAGTGTGTATTATTCTTTTTAATACATTATGAAAGTGTTTTCATTAAAAATCTTGTTAGTAAAAATTAATGGGATAAAACTTCGATCAAGAAAAAAGAATACAACCGGTATTTACTCACCTTCTGAGAACATTACTTGAGATCTAGCTATATATCGTGTTTATTGTTGGACTATTATGATATTGACTTGTTCATCTACTATACGTACGAGAATTTATCTATGTATGCAAGTTTTTGCGAAAATCATGTCAAGGGTCGTGCATAATATTTGACAACTTTATTTTTCCATTTCCTTTTTACATAGGTGCTATTAACTTTACACTGTTAAGTGTTTGGACTACATGTCCAAATGCTTCAAGTTTGAGGATTTTTGCTTGATTTAAGTTCATATTTGGAAATTATAATTTAAATTGGTTAAACATACTCTTTATTTTCACATTTTGTAAAACTTACAATTACTAATATTATCAACATATTTCGTAGGAAAACTTATAGTCACTTAAAATTGATTGCCCTACATTATAACATTCTTACTATCTATAAGTCAAAAATCAAATATTTAATTTTAATTTGGATAATTAGCGTAAAACGTCCCTACCTTCAAAAGTTTTTGTGGAAAACGTCCATACCTTTTGTTTTTTGGCGCAAAACGTCCCACCTTTCACATTCTTTGCGCTAAACGTCATTTTCACCAATTTTTAACATAAAATGATTAATATACCGTCATATATAAATAAAACAAAAAAGAAAAGAAAAGAAAAATAAAGAATAAATTTTAATTTTACTCTTAAAACTTTTAAAAAACTACAAATGAGTCCTCTTCTTATCCAATTCCATTTCCCAGCATCATCTCTCTTGTCCCAATTCCCCATATCATCCAATAATTCGATAGAAATCAGCAAGCAAAATCTGCTACTCGAAAAATGGACAAATTGCTAGAAGTAGCACCTTCGGCCAGCAACAGGAACGCGGACCACCACCATCCGGTTGCCCACACCCAGACGACCTCAGCCATGTTGGCAATTCATCTAAAACACTTATCTAATAGGTTCAATTTGAAACTGAAAATAATGCAGTCGCGACTATCGCACCGTGCACTAAACTTGGTTGATTCCGGCATCATCCCTTTGACCCATGGTCGCAGATCACTCCATTCAACACCCTCTCATCATGGCGAAACTATTCTACCTATGGGTCTTCCACAATTTTGCTTGGATTCGTTAGAACTTCAAGTTGAAATCCAATTACAATTTTTGGAAACTTCCACAATTTTGCCTGGATTCTTTAGAACTTCAGGTCGAAAGCCAATTATAATTTTTGGAACATAGTATTTTTCCCACGAATTGAAGGTCGAAATTGACCTAGACCCATGGTTGGGTTAGATGCACTTGGTGAAGAAGGACCTAGCCCAGGCGGTTTGCTAACATGCGTGTTTTGGACGGAGACGGAATTTGAGAAGTTCGCAGCAGCAGGCTGTGTCGCGATTGGCAAAGAATCTAGCATGAAATTAATTTCTTTTTGTTGATGTTTGTTGTAAATTGTTAGCATGGGCGTGGTCGTCTCGTGATAGCAATTGATAGGAGGTGAGCTCCAATCATGGGGATGGCTGGAATGTAATTTTCGACGATTTTTAGATTTGAGGACATTGTACTTTCAACATTAATTCCGACCACTACAGTTGATGAAATTGGGAGTGGTTGGGTGGTAATTGAAAGGGGAATTGGAGGACTATTGATCGGTGTCAACGTCTAGCGGCTTGGGTGACCGGAGGCTGCCAGAATTTGGACGCATTTAGGCTAGAAAAGGGCAACAAATCGCCACTTTTTGGACTGATTTTCATTTTAAAAAAAGTTTAGGAGTAGATTGCAATTTACTATTTATTTCTCTTTTCTTTTCTTTTTTGTTTTATTTATATAAGATGATATAATGATCATTTTATGTTAAAAATTGATAAAAAGGGCGTTCAGCGCAAAGAATGTGAAAGGTAAATGACATTCTGCGTAAAAAAACGAAAGGTATGGATGTTTTCCACAAAAACCTTCGAAGGTAGGACGTTTTGCGCCAATTACCCTTTAATTTCACACACCTCATAAGATTACGACTAGTATCCACTTATATCTACTTATTCACTACTTATTTCTTACACATTATAATTTCAGTAATTTATAATCAAACCCAAACAAGCACTGGATCATTGAACCTCTTAAAAGTATAATTTGCAAGAGTTTTTTTTTGCTTTCTCGAAAAGGGGAGTGCTGATTCAAAATTTCAAGCTAATTAGAGGTTCAAAACTGCTACTTTTGTCTTCATTTCATCTTCAAGTGTGCAGGATTTTTTCCTAACGAAGAATACAAACGATAAACAATCTGTAGCAGTTAGCTTGCCGTCTGGTCCTTCCTTTGTTTATTCTTCTTGGTCTTTCCACTGTTTCTTGCGTAAGAAGAGCGTGTTATTTATTACATGGAGCGGTCAGAGTTTTAATATTGTAATCGTCACCGTGGAGGTATCTAAAGAATACAAACAGTAACTTCCAAGACTCTTTCAATTGAATAACAGATGGATTCCACGCTCATGCCCATTCGTGCCTCAATGTAATATTCTATTTCGCTCTGTTTATTATCCGTATTTTAATGTTAGCTAATAACAGAACATTAGAGTAATATGGGTGCAAGCGTGTATTAGGTATAAACAAGAAAGCTTCATACGATTGGATCTATGTTGACGAAGTTATTTTAAGACATCAGATAAGAATAGTTTATTATGAAATAGATGGAGACATGGTCAATCTGGACTCATTCATTGCCTGGCAAGACATAGTGGTCAAAATCACAAGGCATCATCCGAACTTTCTTTTCAGTATTCAAGAACTTGGTTTCTCAGAAGTTTTAGAATCTGAACAGCATTTGGAAAATGGGATCAAGAATTCTTGTGTACTTGCTTCTTGTTTCCTCTCAAATTCTGGCTATACTGGCACGGACAGACGGTGATGATCGTAAGTTTTTAATTATATACCACGAATTGTTTCATTGTATAGTGCGAGAAAATTCTTTCTGTTAATTTATTTGATCAATTTGGATTCCTGGATGTTTTCGGGGAGGACATTCAAATAGGATATATTCGTATTTACTTGATATTGTTCTCCTGTATGAAGAATTTCCTTATTTGATTACATGATTATTTTGGTTGCATATAATTAGGGGTCTCAACATAAGGAATACACCAAAAATCGAGCGTTCACTTCCAAGATTTAATTCTACACGTGCTAATTCTAATGATGTTTTAAGTGCATGTTTGGTATGCAAGGTAGTACAATAAACAAGATTTTAACTTATTTTGCTTCCATAATATTGTGTAGAATTAGCCGATCTTCCGTAGTATACATAGGATAAGTGATTAGGATAGTTCCCCTCTGGAAGCTGTTGGTAAGTTCTTATTGAAAACAATATATAATTTCTCGGACCCTGTCGAAAAATAACCATCTTATGAATATAATGCATCCTACTATCTTATTTTAGACACTTTACAGTAATCATAATCTTTGTTTATCATCATGGTTCAATCAAGACAAAAGTAAACATTTTTTCTTGAATGAAATTATTGATAGTTAGACAATGCAATTTATAGTGTTGTTTTCAAGGGAAAAAAATTCGGAGATGTGTTTATTAGTGGAGTCTTTTCCTATGTACCATCCTCTAAATTATTATTTTTTTTTTCTCATTGAAATGTTAGTTGTTGTACACCAACTAAAGTTGCAATAAAATTGGCTTGTATATATTCTGAGTTCTAATTGGGGTTTCTGAATTCTGGGTATGCAGTTACCTTTCTACTAGATACCCTCCTTTCCATATATATTTGGAATTGGGTCATCGTATCGCAATTATTATGGACTGGAATGTTGTGAGTTTGGAATGAGAATATTCATCAACCTTATTTTTAGTTTGCAGACTTGCAGTAGTTCTGTAGGTGCTCTTAATGTATTTAATGTATGTGGAAGCATCTTCTCTTGGTCTGAGCATAGATTTTACCTTATTACCTCTATTGCAGTTGCTGCTCTAAATGCAATCAAATCTAGCTGGAGTAACTTGCCCCCAAACTGGACAGGGTCAGATCCTTGTGGCAGCAGTTGGGATGGGATTAATTGCACTGATACACGCGTGACCTCCATGCAAGTCTTGGCAATTCCCTGTCCTGATGAATACCTAGTTCATTTGTTTTTCCTTGTTTTTGAGTCTAATAGAATTGCTTCAACTGCAGAATGTTGGCAGGCACAGGGGTGGAAGGTAGTGAGTTCAGTGACATTTCATCATTGACCGAGTTGCAATTTTTGTATGTTCCTGCATTCTCTGTTTGGCTTCCAGGTCCTAAGGAAATAGTTTCTTGTCTAGCTCTTCACAAGTTAATTGACTTATCAATAATCCTTATGAACTGCAGTCTTGATTGCACCTGGATGTTACATAAAAGATAAAATTCAAATCTAAGATGGTCCAACTATAGTTTGGTATAGAGGCTAACTTACACTTAGTTTTTGGCACAATTCTGGGTTTGGGGTCTCTCTCTCTTTTGTTTTTTTGGTTTGGAAGCAGCACCTTCCAGGTTACCCAGGGGATACATTACCAGTTGCAAAATAATCTTTATACATAAATCAGAGGTCGTGGACACATAGGGAATAAGTCACTAGTTAAGTGACCGAACTATTTTCATACAAAAAAACTAAAAATTAGGATCCAAATACAAGAAAATCACTTCATGGAAATGATACAGGAATTATGGTTGCAACCATTTTTCACGTAACACTTTTATTTAACCATTCTTGATCACCACTCTTTACTTGTCACTATGATTACACTTGGGCTTTGAATGGGGTCTTGAGTCAATAATAAGATTCTTTAGCCTTTCAATTCCTGATAGATGGTTTCTGGATGTAGGGATCTTTCTAACAACATTGGACTTAAAGGGAGTCTTCCAGAATCAATTGGAAACTTGAAGAAACTGTCTACCTTGTAAGGAAAATTTCTGCCGTTTTCTTTGGTAATAGCTGCACAAGTGTAGAACACTAATATTGAACTCGATTATTTTCCTACCATGTAGGATTTTGGTTGGCTGCAGCTTTTATGGTCCCATTCCAGAAGCAATAGGCTCTCTGGATCAGCTGACATTTTTGTAAGAACTCAATTCTTGAGAATTCCCTTTTCTATACAAATGTTTTTCATTATTATGCAATTTATTAAGCACGCCCTCACATTTGGCTCTTTATATCAAATTAGCTTCAATTTTTGGGTGTAAAGCGAATTGAAACGCACTTCACAAGTCTTGGTTGTCTTTTTTCCTCCTATTCTATTTTGTGGTTTTCCTTGGTTTCTCATTAGCACTTTTGCCTTTACATATTCTTGAGCTAGATTATGGCGCTTCACGGTCAAATAGCTTAGCTCAGGACAAATCTTTACAAATATATATTATCTTATTCTACAGATCTTTGAACAACAATAGCTTCAATGGCCCAATTCCATCTTCAATTGGTAATCTAACTCGGCTTTCATGGCTGGATCTAAGTTACAACAAGCTTAGTGGTACCATTCCAGTTGCCAGCAAAACTGCGAAGGGTTTGGACACACTACTTAATGCTAGACACTTGTATGAGTTCTCTCTCAGAGTTATTAAAGCATATAGAATTCTTTTCTCCTCAATATTGCTTTTACCATTAACAAGTGATTTTCATTATTCACAGTCATTTGTCGAATAATCTACTTTCTGGGTCTATCCCCGATCAACTGTTCAGTTCAAACATGAAGCTTATACACACGTGAGTCAGCTGGCTTCCTATGCTGGATTCTATGTCTTTTACTTGTCAACAATACTGATAATATCTATAAACTAGAATTCGGAGAATTTGTATATTTCCTTGCATATGATGAGAAAGAGATACCCATCTTATTGAGTTCTTTATCAAATAGATATCAAATAGATGTCACTTCAATAATGCTATCTGTATATTCTATGCTATGTTATCTTTATCAAATAGATGTCGAACTTTGATGTTATACTTCATTTCACCATCTTATTAGTCCCTTTTTTTTTGCAATGAGAATTTCTATTTATTCAATTTGTTTGCAATTTTTTACCATTTTGTTTTTATCAACTTTAAAATATATGTCACTTCAATAATGCTATCTGTATATTCTTTCCCTTACATTTATGTTGATATTTCATTTGTTTTCAAAAAATTGTGGGTGGAAAATTTTTTTTTTTTTAAATTGTCTAATTATGTGTTGTCATTTTCCATAATGTAAATAATGATGTACATATAGCATGATTGATGTCAGATACATGTACATAAAATGTACTATTACATATATTTGCATGCATTTAACCATTTATTGAAGGAAAAATAGAATTTACTGACTACTATGGCGAAACATCAATTTTATCACGTTGAAACCAAAAAATCTTATTGTATGTTAAATCATCATTCACAAAATTTTAAAAATTAATTTTATATGGGTATATTAGATTATATTTCATTGCATGGTTTTGAACACGTTATAAAGCACGTTCACATTACTACTTCCATCACTACCAATTTGAATGCTTTATTTTTATTTGTACGCCAATTGCCAAAATGGAAGCCCCTGCTATTGCAATAATTTCAGAATGCATATCCAGCATTTTTAATCTTTTATTTCCTTAGGAAAAGAGCAAAATACATTTTTCTCACTAGCACTGTTATGGGGTAATAATGGAGACTTTGACGTTAGTAACCATAAAAAACTACTCGTAAACCCAAATTTTTACTGAGATTCTTGTGTTCAAATTTTTTTTTCCCTTATTCTATATAAATAAAATCATTCTGTTGGTTCAGGATATTTGACCACAACCAACTCACCGGGAATTTACCTTCCACTCTAGGATCTGTAAAGACATTGGAGATTGTGTGAGTGTCTCTGTTATTCGTAATGTTCTTGGCTGTTATCAATTTTTCCTATAATTAATGATGAATATCTTGTTTTTGGAACAGACGCTTTGACTGGAATTTTCTTGATGGACCCATCTCTCCAAACCTGAGTAATCTTACAAATATGAATGAGTTGTAAGCTGATAAAACTGAAGTTCTGATTTAGAAGATACAAGTATTATTGTCTCGAAGAACGTTGATGAAACTGTTATATTTGAAGTTTTAACTAGTTTGTTGGTTATTCTTTACAGGTACTTGTCTAATAATAAGTTTACAGGAAATATACCCAACCTCACAGGCATGAATTTCCTATACTACGTGTAAGTTGTATTATATCTTCCAATCTCTAAATTGATTATAGCACACCATGCACCTTAATTGGTGAATCATGAATGCATAAGAAATATGGTTTTGCAAATGTGCCATCAACATTTTTGTATGACCAGATGCTTTTCCAATGTATTCTCACCCGTAAATTAGATGCGTTTATGGTTTTCTGCCTTTCTGACCAACAGAAATTTGCAGGGATGTGAGCAATAATAATTTTAATGCATCAAATGTTCCACAATGGATTACAAGCCTCCAGTCTTTGACAACATTGTACATCTCTCTTTCCCTCCTGAACACAGCATCTTCATAAACACACACATGCATTAGGACACAGCAACTGAACTGTTATAAGTGCATTCACATTATCTGATTCTCTCCAAAATGTCATGAATTCTTATACGGAGAATTTTTCCACCCATTTTTAGCCGAACACTTTTTTGCGTTGTTAGCTTATGAGTAATCTTTAAAAAATATTGGACTGACAGAATGATGGAGAACACACAACTCCAAGGTCTGATCCCAGTTGAGCTCTTCAGACTTCCTCAATTGGAGACTGTGTGAGTATCAGCTTTATATAATAGGAATTACCGGTTTCTGCAGTTACGTCAATTCTTTTAAGGCAAGAACATTTTATCAAATTTAGAACAAAAATCTTACTTGCCAATTATACTGACAGGGTGCTCAGCAACAATAATCTTAGTGGAGTCTTAAATATTGGCAATAGCTACAGCAACAATTTAACCCTTGATTTGCGGAACAATTCCATTACCGACTTTATGCAAAAGACTGATTACAGCATGGGGGAGCTAATGTAAGTAATCAAGTAGTTAATTTGTTCACATCTTCTTTCAGAGGGTTATGAAATGTCTGTTCGTCATTATCTCTTTAGTATAATCTCAGCTGTTGAAGGATTCACGGTTTCTATTTCTTGCAGACTAGTTGGTAACCCCCTTTGCAATGCGAATGGAGCAACTTTGAAATACTGTATAGTTGAGAATCACCATAATAACTCATTCCCGTCAAACAATTGTACGGCTAAATCCTGCAGCAGAAATCAAGTATTGAGTAAACTTTGAAATACTGTATAGTTGAGAATCACCATAATACCTCATTCCCGTCAAACAATTGTACGGCTACATCCTGCAGCAGAAATCAAGTATTGAGTCCTAATTGTGGATGTTCACACCCATACACTGGAACACTGCACTTTTTCTCTTTCTCCTTCTCAGATTTACAAAATTTCACTTATTACAAAACCCTTTATGAGGCTCTGATGTCTGTTTTTCACTCCAACGGGCTGCCTGTTGATTCAGTTCTTCTTGCTAATCCAACTGTTGACATATATAACTACCTTCAGTTCCGTCTGCAAATTTTTCCTTCTGGTCAAGATTCTTTCAATCGAACATCGATATCGACAATAGGTTTCCTACTCAACCGTCAGCAATTTCGGCTTCAATATTATGGGCCATTCTTCTTCATTGATGAACCGTACTGTTGTTTTGCAGGTGACTTCCATGCTCACATTTAGGAAAATTTAAGATTTTTGTGATCTTGTATCTCAATTTTGCAGTCTCTGTCTAATTAATTTGTCTTTCTCTTTCCCTTTAGGATCAAAAAAGTCATCAAATGCTGGCATTATCATTGGAGTAGCAGTTGGCTGTTCTGTGCTTGTGCTATTAGTTATCTTTGCTGGAATTTATGCTTTTCTTCAGCGTAAAAGAGCAAAAAGAGCTTTCGAAAGGAGCAACCCGTTTTGTAAGATCAGCCATTCATAAAACTGTAGAACTCTTTCATCTGTAAGTATATGTCATCCTCATATTTTGTGTCACCATCATGATATGTGAATGCAGCATCTTGGGACCCTAAAAAAGGAAGCGGCAGTGTTCCACAGCTTCAGGGAGCAAAATGGTTTTCCTTTGAAGATCTCAAGAAATGCACGGACAATTTTTCAGAATCCAAGTGCATTGGATCTGGAGGCTACGGAAAGGTTTCTCTGTTGTTAGACCTTTGAATAATTCCCTTTTCTTTTAATTAAAATGATAATCGTGGTCCACCAACTGGCACCTCCACTAGAGTAGCCACTAATAAAGAACACATTAATTTGTGCTTAAGGATCTTTTTCCAAAAAAAAAAAATACTGTACTCTGGATAACTTCTTATTTTGGACTAGTTACTGTTCTGATGTAGAGCCTGTCACGTATTTTCATTTCTCTTTAGCACTTGCGTAGTCACTAATGGAAAAGAAAAGGATGCTCCCCCTTCTGTGTAATTATAACTGAACTTACGTGTAAAACAATCTGCTACCGTGATGTTATTCCACCGTGGTCTGTGAGAGATCTAATTAAAGTTTGCGTTCTGTGCTTTACTGATAGGTTTACAAAGGAGCTATTTCTTCTGGACAATTAGTTGCAATCAAGCGTGCTCAACAGGGATCAATGCAGGGGTCCTCTGAGTTTAAAACAGAGATTGAACTTTTGTCAAGGATTCATCATAAGAATGTCGTCAGCCTTGTGGGATTCTGTTATGATCAAGCTGAACAAATGCTGGTCTACGAATATATATCCAATGGTACCCTTCGAGATTGTCTTTCAGGTAAATTCTTGGATTCTTTCTATTTCATGAACATGTTATGACTTCCATATTGAGATTAATTCATTCAACAATGTGCCAAAAGTACAATATAAATGGAGTGACCTCGCTTATTATTATATGAATAATCAATAATTTCACTTTCTCGAGTCTAAAATTAATCTTCTTTCTCATGTTTACTACCCGATAAAGAGATTGGTAATTTAGTAGGCTAATTTTGGTTACTGAGGAAGCATAATGCCTGATGCTATGAATCTAAGACATTTCATTAAATAACAATGACTTTAACTTTACGTAATAATCCTTAGCATTTCTAAGCATGTTTGGTTAATCTTACAATGAGCTTATTAGCTGATTCTTTTGGCCGAGTCACAAAAGAAGCAAGTAGTAAGATACTTATAAGCTTAGCCAAACATCTAGCCTATGCTTGTGATTACCATTTAAATTCTTGATTTGTGTTGCCAAAAAGTAACTCAATAATGAGGACTAACCTGCTTGACGATGTCTTATATCATGTTATCACGAATGAAAGACTTTATACAAGGAAAGGGCTTAGAATTTAATTCAAGGAACCTATGTTCCTATGTTGATTCAATGTCAGTAAGCCGCTAAGTTTACAGGGAAAATCGGATTCAAGTTGGATTGGAGCAGAAGACTTACAATAGCTCTTGATGCAGCCAGAGGACTGTCATATTTGCATGAGCTTGCCAATCCTCCGATTATTCACAGGGATATTAAATCAAACAACATCTTGATGGACGATCATTTCAATGCAAAAGTTGCTGATTTTGGTCTATCGAAACTCATGGGTGATACGGGCAAGGGTTATGTTACCACTCAAGTCAAAGGGACACTGGTGAGCATTGAAGTCAAAACAACTTTTTATTTATGTTTATTTAAAAACTGTCTCTCCCAATATTGCTGAATTTTTTTGCGCCTAGAACTCTTGTGTTGTTTGTCGCTAAGAGTTGGTCTTTGTCAATAAAGGGCTACATGGATCCTGAATACTACATGACCCAACAGCTTACTGAAAAAAGCGATGTATATAGCTTCGGAGTTGTACTGCTAGAGCTGATAACTGCTAAAGCCCCTATAAATCATGGGAAACACATTGTAAGAGTTGTTCAGGAGGCATTGGACGACCCAGAAGGTTCTGAAAATCTCAATAAAATTCTTGATCCAGCCATGGGATCAGGATCACATGTTGGTTTGAAAAAGTTTGTCGATCTTGCAATGAGCTGCGTCGGAGAATCTGCTGTTGACCGGCCTACAATGGGAGAGGTCGTGAGAGAGATTGAGCACATCCTGGAATTGTCACCTGAAAACAAGAAAATGGACCAAAAAATTTCTGGATCTAGCTATGAGGAAGAAAACGACGAGAGTCCTCTCCATTCTTATGACACTGAGGTGTTTGATGTCAGCTATGGCTCTTTCCCGTTCCGCGTAGAGCATCAGTATGGGAAGTAATAAGGAATTATGAATATCTTGGTCCGAAGTGCTATCTATATTTATATTGAAATTGTGAATCATTTCAATTTTGGGTTATCCATTTATTAGTCATAGCAGATTGTACACTCAAGAAGAACTGATACATTAAGTGGTAGAACAAGTTACAATACTGTGACTTTTTTTTTTTTTTTTTTTTCCGTATAATGTACAAAAATAGTTACTCCGAGTCAACTATCAGTCTATAGGGATTTATTTAGTTATTCTTTCTGTTTTATTTTCCAAAACTAAGAACGCGATTGATATTTAGTACCTGATTGAGCCAAATATTTAAGAATAAATTTTGTAAAAAATGATTTTTTGAAGAATGTGTGATAAAAATAAGAAGAAGTTTTGGGTTTGTGTGCAAAATTGTTTTATCGGAAAAACATATTATTAAAAAAAAATTTGAGAAAAAATTAGTTTCAAATAATTGGTCTAAAAAAGGGGCATTCGGCGTAGCATTAGCATAGACACAACAGTTTGATTTTGAGTTAGTTGTACCGTGGTCACCAAATTCAATTACAATTAGGTCACCGAACTTCACTTTACCGTAATCAGATCACTTAACTTTAATTTACTTATAATTGCGTTACTTAACTTTAGCTCAATTCCAATTGGGTCACTTAACTATAGTTTATGCATTCAGCTTTAAGTTGATCGTGCTTATATTTAATCATTGCTTGCTTATATNTCAGGGTGTTTGTCACCCTGATCCGATACAAGTAGCATCTCTCTATATGGATATGGATCATGTACACATCAGTCCAATTCAAATGTTTGGACATAGTTGATAGAATAGTATAATAATTAATTAATATTAATATTATTGATCTAAATTTACAGTCAAGTTTAATTCATATAAATATTATTGTACTTTGCTTAAGTCCTATTTGAGTAGCTAAAAATTAGATTTTTAATAAATTTTGATAAAAGTTAATGAAATATATATTTGAAAAGTTGATAAATGTTGTGAGTCCTATAATGTATGGTTAAAATTAATTGTTGACTTTGATTTAGATTTTTTTTTAAAAAAATTAAGCCAAACCAAACAGGAGCTAAATATAAAAATAATTAGAATTTTTTTAGCTATTCTTCTTGATACAGTTAATTTTTTAGATGAAATTTCAAGACTCGATATGATATTAGAGATCAAAAATCCGTAACGATCAGTGGATACATTCTGAAACTTAAGCGAACAGCCAAATGTCAAGATTAGTATTCTTAAAAGAGGCAACTGTAGAAAATCTCTTAATTGAAATAATTAATTGATCAAGTCCTTCCACCCCCATCCCATCCCTACCCCCACCTCTAAGAAAAAGACAAAAAGGCAAAAAAATGACTGACTGACTTGACTCTAAAACAAAGCCATGTTGTACTATTAATGATCCACCCATCTCTGCCCGTATGAACACATTTCAAGTCCATGATTGTCTCATTTTTACCAAGTCTTGCAATTTGCAATACATATATGTTTCTTTCAAACCCAAGATTCATCGAAGTCTTCAATTAGTGTAATACACTTGTGGTTGTGGAACAGCTTGCCTTGAATGCTTGGGATTTGAAAATGACAACAAAAATTGATTTCTTGAAATATCTTTTATGGGATTAAAAGGGCTTCCTCTAATCCACAAGCAACTTGTATAGGTTGCAGGTCTCATTAATTTAGTAATAAATGCTTGCCGGACACATTCTATGTTTCTCAAGAAAATAGCAACTTTTTACAAGCCTATCAAATGGTTCTTCTCTTGATAAGTTGAAGAAGGTTAAAAATTGACTAAATGTACATGTTATTGATGGAGCCCATTTTTTGCTTAAATTCTTGAAATTTCTTAATATAATGGCAATTGCATAATGGTATCATATTGTGAACCGAAAAAAATACATCTTTAGACATTTTCTCAAAAGGTGTTGGGAATCAACAAGGATCTGGTAAGAAATTTGTACGAATCGGCGGCGTAAAAGACTATTGTTTAACTCTCTGCATAATTGAACATAATTCAATGGTTATCACTATATTTTTAGAATCTGAATAGCATTTGGAAAATGGGCTCAAGAATTCTTGTCTACTTGCTTCTTGTTTCCTCTCAAATTCTGGTGATACTGGCACGGACAGACAGTGATGATCGTAAGTTTTTAATTATATACCACGAATTGTTTCATTTTATAGTGCAAGAAAATTCTGTGCCATAATTTATTTGATCAATTTGGATTCCTGGATGTTTTCGCGCTCAGGACATTCAAATAGGATATATTCGTATTTACTTGATATTGTTCTCCTGTATGAAGAATTTCCTTAGTTGATTACATGATTATTTTGGGTGCATACTGTTCGCGTGAAACCCGCAAGTGTACGGGATCGTTGTACAAGTAATAAGATTTGTGAGTTAAGAGTATCGTTCCCACGAGAAATAAGGTCTAATTTGTAGTTCAATAACTACCATCAAATTCGAAGTGTGCTAATATAAAAAAAGATGATTTGTATGTAATCTATATTAATCCTAAACTAACAAAACAAATGAAATATTTATTTATTATGTAAACGTTCGTATTGGAATCGTGAATCCCCCTATTGCCATTTAATTTAATTCTTAATTCGTAATATAGTAAATTTAGAAATTCAAGACAATCGATAATCCACTGTTATTCAATATTCTTTTCTAAGCTATATTAAACCTATGTTTCACACGACCAAATCCTATTCCTAGTTCGAATTCATATGAAAAATATGCATTGATTCATTGGATTTATCACACATGATTGCACATGTCATAAATATTATTTATAATACCTATTATCCATGTGTTGATTTTGCCGTGTTCTAAACTTATTGTGAGTATTCCTATACTACAACAAATAACTTACTATCTAATTGGTGATCAAACAATCAAATAGTTCAATGATAATGCAAAACCAATCAAGAAAAATCAAGAAATACTAAATTAATTGTCTCGAATTAAAACAAATAAATAATAGGGTTCATCATTCATCCAATACAATGAAAAACTAGCATAACATTCTTATAATTAAATTACACAAGAATAATTGAAAAACATCACCCAGAAATAAGAAAGATGAAAGAAGTAGAAAGAATTCACGTTCTTGATGTGAATCTTGAATCCGGATGAAGAATCTTCAATATCCTAAACAATTCGCCTTGATTTCACGTTGTTAGTCATGTTTTTCGCCTCCGAAATATGTATAATATAGAGATTTTTAGGTTTAGGGAGGTTCTCCATATGTATTCTGCTGTTCTCTCTTTATAGGAGCCGAAAATTGGTTGAAAATCACGTCCAAATTGGTTTCCAAAAGAGTTTTAATCGAATAAGGAAAGTTGCCTTCGCGCGCGGATTTTTTGTCTCTGCACAGCAGTCCGTATTTTAGTCATAACTTTCTCTTCTGATATCCGATTGATGCGATTCAAAGTGCGTTGGAAAGATAACTTAAAGGGCTACAACTTTGATTGAAATAGAGTTTTTCCAATTCAGACGTTTACTATGCCAAAAATGGTCACAATATTCGGCTAAAAATCTGGAATATATCTTGAGCGATTGGAAATTGATTTTGATAATACTTTGATCATGTTCCATTCCTTTTTGAATTCTAATTTCAATCCAATTGTCTCCTAGCAATCTTCAAAGTATCTTCTTGAGTATTTGCAATTTGATCCTCGAACTTTGGATTTTACCATTTTCACCATATTTTGCTTCTTTTCTCCAATTCTTCATCAAACATTGAGTTTTACCTGCGAGATGCAATGTAACACAATTTAGGTCGTATTTTGTCAAAAGAATAATAAAATTCTATAGTTTCAAGCCTCAAATAAGTGTAGAAAATACACTTATCACATACAATTAGGGGTCTCAACATAAGGAACACACCAAAAATCGAGCGCTCACTTCCAAGATTTAATTCTACGCTTGCTAATTCTAATGATGTTTTAAGTGCATGTTTGGTACGCAAGATAGTACAATAAACAAGATTTTAACTTATTTTTCTTTCATAATATTGTGTAGTATTAGCCGATCTTCCGTAGTATACATAGCATAAGTGATTAGGCTAGTTCCCCTCTGGAAGCTGTTGGTAAGTTCTTATTGAAAAATATATAATTTCTTGGACCCTGTCCAAAAATAACTATCTTGTGAATATAATGCATCCTACTATCATATTTTAGACACTTTACAGTAATCATAATCTTTGTTTATTATCATGGTTCAATCAAGACCAAAGAACGCATTTTTTCTTGAATGAAATTATTGATAGTTAGACAATGCAATTTATAGTGTTGTTTTCAAGGGAAAAAATTCGGAGATGTGTTTATTAGTGGAGTCTTTTCCTATGTACCGTCCTCTAAATTATTTTTTTTTTCTCTTTGAAATGGTAGTTGTTGTACACCAACTAAAGTTGCAATAAAATTGGCTTGTATATATTCTGAGTTCTAATTGGGGTTTCTGAATTCTGGGTATGCAGTTACCTTTCTACTAGATACCCTCCTTTCCATATATATTCGGAATTGGGTTGCCATCGTATCCCAATTATTATGGACTGGAATGTTGTGAGTTTGGAATGAGAATATTCATCAACCTTATTTTTAGTTTCCTGTAGTTCTGTAGGTGCTCTTAATGTATATGGAAGCATCTTCTCTTGGTCTGAGCATAGATTTTACCTTATTACCTCTATTGCAGTTGCTGCTCTAAATGCCATCAAATCTAGCTGGAGTAACTTGCCCCCAAACTGGACAGGGTCAGATCCTTGTGGCAGCAGTTGGGATGGGATTAATTGCACTGATACACGCGTGACCTCCATGCAAGTCTTGGCAATTCCCTGTCCTGATGATTCCCTAGTTCATTTGTTTTTCCTTGTTTTTGAGTCTAATAGAATTGCTTCAACTGCAGAATGTTGGCAGGCACGGGGGTGGAAGGTAGTGAGTTCAGTGACATTTCATCATTGACCGAGTTGCAATTTTTGTATGTTCCTGCATTCTCTGTTTGGCTTCCAGGTCCTAAGGAAATAGTTTCTTGTCTAGCTCTTCACAAGTTAATTGACTTATCAATAATCCTTATGAACTGCAGTCTTGATTGCACCTGGATGTTACATAAAAGATAAAATTCAAATCTAAGATGGTCCAACTATAGTTTGGTATAGAGGCTAACTTACACTTAGTTTTTGGCACAATTCTGGGCTTGAGGTCTCTCTCTCTTTTTTTTTTTGGTTTGGAAGCAGCACCTTCCAGGTTACCCAGGGGATACATTACCAGTTGCAAAATAATCTTTATACATAAATCAGAGGTCGTGGACACATAGGGAATAAGTCACTAGTTAAGTGACCGAACTATTTTCATACAAAAAAACTAAAAATTAGGATCCAAATACAAGAAAATCACTTCATGGAAATGATACAGGAATTATGGTTGCAACCATTTTTCACGTAACACTTTTATTTAACCATTCTTGATCACCACTCTTTACTTGTCACTATGATTACACTTGGGCTTTGAATGGGGTCTTGAGTCAATAATAAGATTCTTTAGCCTTTCAATTCCTGATAGATGGTTTCTGGATGTAGGGATCTTTCTAACAACATTGGACTTAAAGGGAGTCTTCCAGAATCAATTGGAAACTTGAAGAAACTGTCTACCTTGTAAGGAAAATTTCTGCCGTTTTCTTTGGTAATAGCTGCACAAGTGTAGAACACTAATATTGAACTCGATTATTTTCCTACCATGTAGGATTTTGGTTGGCTGCAGCTTTTATGGTCCCATTCCAGAAGCAATAGGCTCTCTGGATCAGCTGACATTTTTGTAAGAACTCAATTCTTGAGAATTCCCTTTTCTATACAAATGTTTTTCATTATTATGCAATTTATTAAGCACGCCCTCACATTTGGCTCTTTATATCAAATTAGCTTCAATTTTTGGGTGTAAAGCGAATTGAAACGCACTTCACAAGTCTTGGTTGTCTTTTTTCCTCCTATTCTATTTTGTGGTTTTCCTTGGTTTCTCATTAGCACTTTTGCCTTTACATATTCTTGAGCTAGATTATGGCGCTTCACGGTCAAATAGCTTAGCTCAGGACAAATCTTTACAAATATATATTATCTTATTCTACAGATCTTTGAACAACAATAGCTTCAATGGCCCAATTCCATCTTCAATTGGTAATCTAACTCGGCTTTCATGGCTGGATCTAAGTTACAACAAGCTTAGTGGTACCATTCCAGTTGCCAGCAAAACTGCGAAGGGTTTGGACACACTACTTAATGCTAGACACTTGTATGAGTTCTCTCTCAGAGTTATTAAAGCATATAGAATTCTTTTCTCCTCAATATTGCTTTTACCATTAACAAGTGATTTTCATTATTCACAGTCATTTGTCGAATAATCTACTTTCTGGGTCTATCCCCGATCAACTGTTCAGTTCAAACATGAAGCTTATACACACGTGAGTCAGCTGGCTTCCTATGCTGGATTCTATGTCTTTTACTTGTCAACAATACTGATAATATCTATAAACTAGAATTCGGAGAATTTGTATATTTCCTTGCATATGATGAGAAAGAGATACCCATCTTATTGAGTTCTTTATCAAATAGATATCAAATAGATGTCACTTCAATAATGCTATCTGTATATTCTATGCTATGTTATCTTTATCAAATAGATGTCGAACTTTGATGTTATACTTCATTTCACCATCTTATTAGTCCCTTTTTTTTTGCAATGAGAATTTCTATTTATTCAATTTGTTTGCAATTTTTTACCATTTTGTTTTTATCAACTTTAAAATATATGTCACTTCAATAATGCTATCTGTATATTCTTTCCCTTACATTTATGTTGATATTTCATTTGTTTTCAAAAAATTGTGGGTGGAAAATTTTTTTTTTTTTAAATTGTCTAATTATGTGTTGTCATTTTCCATAATGTAAATAATGATGTACATATAGCATGATTGATGTCAGATACATGTACATAAAATGTACTATTACATATATTTGCATGCATTTAACCATTTATTAAAGGAAAAATAGTATTTACTGACTACTATGGCGAAACATCAATTTTATCACGTTGAAACCAAAAAATCTTATTGTATGTTAAATCATCATTCACAAAATTTTAAAAATTAATTTTATATGGGTATATTAGATTATATTTCATTGCATGGTTTTGAACACGTTATAAAGCACGTTCACATTACTACTTCCATCACTACCAATTTGAATGCTTTATTTTTATTTGTACGCCAATTGCCAAAATGGAAGCCCCTGCTATTGCAATAATTTCAGAATGCATATCCAGCATTTTTAATCTTTTATTTCCTTAGGAAAAGAGCAAAATACATTTTTCTCACTAGCACTGTTATGGGGTAATAATGGAGACTTTGACGTTAGTAACCATAAAAAACTACTCGTAAACCCAAATTTTTACTGAGATTCTTGTGTTCAAATTTTTTTTTCCTTTATTCTATATAAATAAAATCATTCTGTTGGTTCAGGATATTTGACCACAACCAACTCACCGGGAATTTACCTTCCACTCTAGGATCTATAAAGACATTGGAGATTGTGTGAGTGTCTCTGTTATTCGTAATGTTCTTGGCTGTTATCAATTTTTCCTATAATTAATGATGAATATCTTGTTTTTGGAACAGACGCTTTGACTGGAATTTTCTTGATGGACCCATCTCTCCAAACCTGAGTAATCTTACAAATATGAATGAGTTGTAAGCTGATAAAACTGAAGTTCTGATTTAGAAGATACAAGTATTATTGTCTCGAAGAACGTTGATGAAACTGTTATATTTGAAGTTTTAACTAGTTTGTTGGTTATTCTTTACAGGTACTTGTCTAATAATAAGTTTACAGGAAATATACCCAACCTCACAGGCATGAATTTCCTATACTACGTGTAAGTTGTATTAAATCTTCCAATCTCTAAATTGATTATAGCACACCATGCACCTTAATTGGTGAATCATGAATGCATAAGAAATATGGTTTTGCAAATGTGCCATCAACATTTTTGTATGACCAGATGCTTTTCCAATGTATTCTCACCCGTAAATTAGATGCGTTTATGGTTTTCTGCCTTTCTGACCAACAGAAATTTGCAGGGATGTGAGCAATAATAATTTTAATGCATCAAATGTTCCACAATGGATTACAAGCCTCCAGTCTTTGACAACATTGTACATCTCTCTTTCCCTCCTGAACACAGCATCTTCATAAACACACACATGCATTAGGACACAGCAACTGAACTGTTATAAGTGCATTCACATTATCTGATTCTCTCCAAAATGTCATGAATTCTTATACGGAGAATTTTTCCACCCATTTTTAGCCGAACACTTTTTTGCGTTGTTAGCTTATGAGTAATCTTTAAAAAATATTGGACTGACAGAATGATGGAGAACACACAACTCCAAGGTCTGATCCCAGTTGAGCTCTTCAGACTTCCTCAATTGGAGACTGTGTGAGTATCAGCTTTATATAATAGGAATTACCGGTTTCTGCAGTTACGTCAATTCTTTTAAGGCAAGAACATTTTATCAAATTTAGAACAAAAATCTTACTTGCCAATTATACTGACAGGGTGCTCAGCAACAATAATCTTAGTGGAGTCTTAAATATTGGCAATAGCTACAGCAACAATTTAACCCTTGATTTGCGGAACAATTCCATTACCGACTTTATGCAAAAGACTGATTACAGCATGGGGGAGCTAATGTAAGTAATCAAGTAGTTAATTTGTTCACATCTTCTTTCAGAGGGTTATGAAATGTCTGTTCGTCATTATCTCTTTAGTATAATCTCAGCTGTTGAAGGATTCACGGTTTCTATTTCTTGCAGACTAGTTGGTAACCCCCTTTGCAATGCGAATGGAGCAACTTTGAAATACTGTATAGTTGAGAATCACCATAATAACTCATTCCCGTCAAACAATTGTACGGCTAAATCCTGCAGCAGAAATCAAGTATTGAGTTCTAATTGTGGACGTTCACACCCATACACTGGAACCCTGCACTTTTCCTCTTTGTCCTTCTCAGATTTACAAAATTGTACTTATTACAAAACCCTTAATGGGGCTCTGATGACTGTTTTTCTCTCCAACGGGCTGCCTGTTAATTCAGTTCTTCTTGCTAATCCAACTGTTGACATATATAACTACCATCAGTTCCGTCTGCAAATTTTTCCTTCTGGTCAAGATTCTTTCAATCGAACATCGATATCGACAATAGGTTTCCTACTCAACTATCAGCAATTCCCGCTTCCATATTATGGGCCATTCTTCTTCATTGATGAACCGTATTGTTGTCTTGGAGGTGACTTTCATGATCACATTTAGGAAAACTTAAGATTCTTGTGATCTTGTATCTCAATTTTGCAGTCTCAGTCTAATTTATTTGTCTTCCTCTTTCACCTTAGGTTCAAAAAAGTCATCAAATGCTGGCATTATCATTGGAGTAGCAGTTGGCTGTCCTGTGCTTGTGCTATTAGTCATCTTTGCTGGAATTTATGCATTTCTTCAGCGTAAAAGAGCCAAAAGAGCTTCCGAAAGGAGCAACCCATTCTGTAAGATCAACCCTTCATAAAACTGTAGAACTCTTTCATCTGTAAGTATATGTCATCCTCATATTTTGTGTCACCATCATGATATGTGAATGCAGCATCCTGGGACCCTAAAAAAGGAAGCGGCAGCATTCCACAGCTTAAGGGAGCAAAATGGTTTTCCTTTGAAGATCTTAAGAAATGTACTGACAATTTTTCAGAATCCAAGTGCATTGGATCTGGAGGCTACGGAAAGGTTTCTCTGTTGTTAGACTTCGAATATGTCCCTTTTCTTTTAATTAAAATGATAATCGTGGTACAGCAACTGGCATCTCCACATTAATTTGTGCTTAAGGATCTTTTTCCAACTAAAAAAAAAAAAAGAAAAAAAAAAAGGACTGAACTCTGGATAACTTCTTATTTTGGACTATTTACTGTTCTGATGTAGAGCCTGTCATGTATTTCGTTTTTCTTTAAAACTTGCGGAGTCACTAATGGAAAAGAAAAGGATGCTCCCCCATCTGTGTAATTATAACTGAACTTACGTGTAAAAATATCTGCTACCGTGATGTTATTCCACCGTGGTCTGTGAGAGATCTAATTAAAGTTTGCCTTCTGTGCTTTACTGATAGGTTTACAAAGGAGCTATTTCTTCTGGACAATTAGTTGCAATCAAGCGTGCTCAACAGGGATCAATGCAGGGATCCTCTGAGTTTAAAACAGAGATTGAACTTTTGTCGAGGATTCATCATAAGAATGTCGTCAGCCTTGTGGGATTCTGTTATGATCAAGGTGAACAAATGCTGGTCTACGAGTATATATCCAATGGTACCCTTCGAGATTGTCTTTCAGGTAAATTCTTGGATTCTTTCTATTTCATGAACATGTTACTCGTTCTGACTTCCATATTGAGATTAATGCATTCAACAATGTGCCAAAAGTACAGTATAAATGGAGTGACCTCGCTTATTATTATATGAATAATCAATAATTTCACTTTCTTTCTCGAGTCTAAAATTAATCTTCTTTCTCATGTTTACTGCCCAAAAAAGAGATTGGTAATTTAATAGGCTAATTTTGATTACTGATGAAGCATAGTGCTTGATGCTATGAATCTAAGACATTTCATTAAATATACAATGACTTTAACTTTACGTAATAATTCTTAGAATTTCTAAGCATGTTTGGTTAATCTTGCAATGAGCTTATTAGATGATTCTTTTGGCCGAGAAGAAGCAAGTAGTAAGATACTTATAAGCTTAGCCATTTAAATTCTTGATTTGTGTTGTCAAAAAGTAACTCAATAATGAGGACTAACCGACTTGACAATGTCTTGTATCATGTTATCACACATGAAAAACTTTATACAAGGAAAGGGCTTAGATTTTAATTCAAGGAATCTATGTTCCTATGTTGATTCAATGTCAATAAGTCGCTAAGTTTACAGGGAAAATAGAATTCAAGTTGGATTGGAGTAGAAGACTTAAAATAGCTCTTGATGCAGCCAGAGGACTGTCATATTTGCATGAGCTTGCCAACCCTCCGATTATTCACAGGGATATTAAATCAAACAACATCTTGCTGGACGATCATTTCAATGCAAAAGTTGCTGATTTTGGTCTATCGAAACTAGTGGGAGATACGGGCAAGGGTTATGTCACCACTCAAGTCAAGGGGACACTGGTAAGCATTGAAGTCAAAACAACTTTTTATTTTTTTATTTAAAAACTCTCTCTCAATATTGCTAATTTTTTTTGTGAATTGAGCTCTTATGTTGTTTGTCGCTAAGAGTTGGTCTTTGTCAATAAAGGGATACATGGATCCTGAATACTACATGACCCAACAGCTTACTGAGAAAAGTGATGTATATAGCTTTGGAGTTGTATTGCTAGAACTGATAACTGCTAAAGCCCCTATAAATCATGGAAAACACATTGTAAGAGTAGTTCAGGAGACATTGGACGATCTAGAAGGTTCTGAAAATCTCGATAAAATTCTTGATCCAACCATGGGATCAGGATCACATGTTGGTTTGAAAAAGTTTGTCGATCTTGCAATGAGCTGCGTTAGAGAATCTACCGCTGACCGACCTACAATGGGAGGAGTCGTGAGAGAGATTGAGCACATCGTGGAATTGTCACCCGAAAACAAGAAAATGGACCAAAAACTTACTGGATCTATCTATGAGGAAGAAAATGACGAGAGTCATCTCCATTCTTATGACATTGAGGTGTTTGATGTCAACTATGGTTCCTCCCGTTCTGCATAGAGCATCAGCATGGGATGTAGGCAGGAATTATGAATATTTTGATCCAAAGTGCTATCTATATTTATAGTGAAACTGTGAATCATTTCAATTTTGGGTTATCCATTTATTAATCATAGCAGAATGTACACTCAAGAAGAGCTGATACATTAAGTGGTGGAACAAGTTACAATGTTGTGACCTTTTTTTTTTTTTTTTTTATAACGTACAAAAATAGTTACACTGAGTCAACTATCAATCTATAGGGATTTATTTAGTTATTATTTCTATTTTATTTGCCAAAACTAAGAACACGATTGATATATAGTACCTGATTGAGCCCCATTTTTAAGAACAAATTTTATAAAAAGTGATTTTCAGAAGAATGTGTGATAAAATTAAGGAGAAGTTTTGGATTTATGTGCAAAATTATTTTATTGGAAAAACGTATTATTAAAAATAAATTTGAGAAAAAATGAGTTTCAAAGAACTGGTGTCAAACAAGGGCATAGTATAGATAAAACAGTTTAATTTCGAGTTAGTTGTACTGTGGTCACCAAATTCAATCACAATTAGGTCACCGAACTTCACTTTACCGTAATCGGATCACTTAACTTAAATTTACTTACAATTACGTTACTTAACTTTAGCTCAATTGCAATCGGGTCACTTAACTATAGTTTATGCATTCAGCTTTATATTTAATCGTTGCTTGCTTATATATTATGTAGAATTATTCTTTCAAATTAGAAAAAGCCAACGATGATTAATTAGGGTTTCAAATGAAATTTGATGGCACTAAAAATAAATATTTCTTTCTTACTGAATGCTTAAAATAAATTTTGGTTGACTTGGACAAGTGTACAACTCAACTATAATCCATTTAAAATTACAGGGTCGAAAAATCAAAATAAATTCCCTGTGGACCAAATTAACGCATTGAATTTTGAGTTAGGAATATTGTATGGATATGGATCATGTACACGTCAGTCCAATTCAAATGTTTGTACATAATTGATAGAATAGTATAACAATTAATATTAATATTAATATTATTGTACTTTGCTTAAGTCCCTATTTGAGTAGCTAAAAATTAATTAAATATATATTTGAAAAGTTGATAAATGTTGTGAGTCCTATAATGTATGGTTAAAATTAATTGTTGACTTTGATTTAGATTTTTTTTTTCCAAAATTAAGCCAAACCAAACAGGAGCTAAATATAAAAATAATTAGAATTTTTTTAGCTATTCTTCTTGATACAGTTGATTTTTTAGATGGAATTTCAAGACTCGATATGATATTAGAGATCAAAAATCCCTAACGATCAGTGGATACATTCTCAAACTTAAGCGAACAGCCAAATGTCAAGATTAGTATTCTTAAACAAGACTACCATAAAAATTTTCTCTTAATTGAAATAATTAATTGATCGAGTCATCCCACCCCATCCCATCCCATCCCATCCCACACCTACCCCCACCTCTAAGAAAAAGACAAAAAGGCAAAAAAAAAAAAAAAAACGACTTGACTGACTGACTCTAAAACAAACCCATGTTGTACTTATTAGTTATTACCCAAAGGTCGAATCAGCATCCACGTGAGATCTAAAATAAAATGAGGACTTCGCATAGAAACTTTATTCTTTGATATGTTCAAAGCTGCAATATAATGATATATTCAAATGTCGTACTATATTATTTTTAGTAATCATTCTAGTTATGGCATGATGTTTCAAACGGGTGGACAAATTAATATTTGTAATGGCTGTTAAATGAGGGCACGATTGGTTATAAACTCACAACTCTAGATCTTTACAACCACAGCAAGGATCTTGAGTCGGATATGAATTGTAACAACTAAATCGAGTAGAACTCACTGGAGGGAGCTTAGTTGGTTATAAACAATCTCATAAAAAATTGGCTAAAAATATATGTGAATTTTTTTTTTAACAAAAAGGCTTCTTAAATGTAAAATTTTGGGTTTCAGTGGAGGGGTTCTAGCATGTGTAACACCTCGGTGTACAATCCCCCATAATAAGGGGGTCCACCATTTATTTATTGATCTTGTACAAATAGTAAAACTATTATTAATTAGTGAAATATGAATTATGAATGTGTTTAAATGAGACAAGCATCAACCTTTATGATCATCGGCAAATCCAGACATGTTGTCTAATGCCCACAAGTATTGGTGCATTTCGAATGCCTCAGAGATAATAAGTACTTGAAATTAAGAGTCCATTTGATTGGAATAGTGGAAAGAAAATGAACTTCAGGGAATTGAATTGTTTAGAATTGTTTTCCCGAAAACTGTCAATTAATTGTGTTTGATTGGTACAATTTTCTACGTAGCAACTATTTAAAATTTGGATCTTTTGGTGTTCGTCTGACTTTTTTTTTTTATGGAAATTGTCCATTAAGGAGAATTTTTTTATTTTTTTATTTTTAACAATTGGTGATAAAATTTGTGTCCTATGCCAATAAAAAAATAAAAATGGACTATCAAGCATAGTCTAAGTTCAAACAAAAGTAGTTGGTCGACAAGAAAGGGGGTAAGAAGAAGCCAAGGCACTGACATATTCAAGAACCCATTTAGGGTTTATGTACACATTGACCTGTGTATAAAGACGTTTTAAGTCCACGATTGTCTTATTTTAACCAAGTCTTGCAATTTGCAACACATGTTTCTTTCAAACCCAAGATTTATCAGAGTCTTCAATTAGTGCAATGTCTTTTATAATAATTTACTCGTGGTTGTGGAACAGCTTGTCTTGAATGCTTGGGGTTTGAAAATGACAACAAAAATTGATTTCTTGAAATATCTTTTATGGGATTAATTAAGAGGGCTTCGTCTAATCCACGAGCAACTTGTATAGGTTGCTGGTCTCATTAATTTAGTAATAAATGCGGGCCACATTCTATGTTTCTCAAGAAAATGTCAACTTTTTAAAGCCTATCAAACGGTTCATCTCTTGATAAGAGTGTGTTTGGTAGGGATTTTTTGGGGAAGAATTGATTTTTGAATAGTAATATGATGAGAAATGTGTGGTTGAAAAAGAAGAAAAAATTATTGATGTGATGGAAAATATTATTTTATTGAAAAATGTGTGGTTGAAAATGAGAATTGATTTACTTTAGAAAATGAGAATCTATACCAAACAGACTCTAAGTTGAAGAAGATAAAAAATTGACTAAATGAGTAAACGTACATATTATTGTTGGGGGCCCATTTTTTGCTTAAATTCTTGAAATTTCTTAATATAATGGCAATTGCATAATGGTATCATATTGTGAACCGAAAAAAAATACATCTTTAGACATTTTCTCAAAAGGTGTTGGGAATCAACTAGGATCTGGTAAGAAATTTGTACGAGTTCGCGGCGTAAAAGACTATAGTTTAACTCTGTGCATAATTGAACAGGGTTCAATGGTGCCATATGTGTATAGTTTTGAAAGTTCCTCAAGGGAACGAACAATTTACTGAGAGCTGGGAAGTTTATGTTTTTGTAGATTTTGGTCAGACTTTCTGTTTGTTTGATAATCTATATTGCTGTTGTTGAGCAGTGATGGTTTCGAGAATTCTGTTCCCTCTGCTGGTTGCTTTAATACAATCTTTGGTTATAGCAGCATCTCCAGATCCACAAGATAGTAAGTATTCTTGATTCTTGGTTCAAATAGCATTTCATCATTATTTGTGTTAATTTTTTAAGGATATCTAATAATTATAACAAGTTTTGTCTGAACCACACAATCGAACCTGATGAGAACTAATTTCTACTTCTAAGCTCATTTCCTCGAAGAGAGCTTAATAAACTTGGGTTCATTTGAGATTTCTAGTCTACTTTGTTCTTCTTCCATGTTAATTCTCCCTTTACCAAGAGAGAAGGAATAGACCAGATTTAGATAATAGGAGTCAAGTACATATTTGTTCTTAATCCATGTCGTAAAAGTGAACTTTACCCCTTTAACATTAAATGGTAAATTAGGCTGAAATTTGTTGCTTTATTCTTGACAAAATATGCAAAAAACCAAATTTATATTTCATGTTCTCTCTTCGCTATGCTCTGTATATTCTGTAGCAGTGGTTTTGGTATAGGGGTAAACCGCTTGGCATTTGATGCTTGAAGTCACAATGGTTGGCTTGCAGTTCATGACATTTGATCATTTTCTGATGCACTGAGCAATTTTTTCCAAGCCTACTTCTTTTCCCAAGTATACTTATTTATTTGAAGATAATATTCAAGTAAATATTGCATATCACTTCTCTTAAAATGTTTAGATCCAGTACTTGAATTCATAAGATGTGTTCTTGCGTCGGCTGGATTTTGAATTATCTATTATTACTTACCCTAAATAAAGAGTTGGGGGTTTAAAACCTGGTTATAGTCCACATATATTTTCATTCCTTTGAGCACCCAAAACAGCGGAGTCAATGGTTGAGAATTCCATCTCCTATAAACAGAAGAAATTGCTTTATCTGTGATGCAGTTGGTGCTATACTGTCTCTCAAGAGCTCATGGGAGAATGTGCCACCCAACTGGGAAGGGGCTGATCCATGTGGAAATAGGTGGGATGGAATTGAGTGCAACAACTCACGTGTCGTTTCTATGTAAGTCCTACCCCATTCTTCGTTGCTATTGTGCTTTTTTTATATTTCTGAGTTTAATCCATTCTTTTCCTATTTCAGCAAATTATCGAGCATGAATTTGAGCGGAAAGCTATCCTCGGACATCGAAGACCTATCTGAATTGCAGATCTTGTTGGTTTTCTATTTCTATTCGTCTATTTTTTCCTGTTTATGAGATCACTTTAGATCTTAATTTTTCCCATTAGAACAATTAAGTACCTTGACTCTTTTCAGTTTTTATTTCTTACTATCATAATATATTCTAATTTTCTATGACATATGCCTCTAGGACAAGAATTCTACTTAAAATCCAGCAACCATTTTTCTAATGATTCTGAAAAAAATGTCACCAAGGTGACTCAAATAAAATCTGGTTATTTGATATCTATTTTTGTT